GGGATTTTGGTGTTTTATTGGGATTTTTGGGGTGTTTTATGGGCGTTTTGGGGGGATTTTTGGGATGTTTGATGGGGCATTTGGGGTGATTTTTTTGGGGTTTTTTTTTGGTGGCTTTTTAAGGATTTTGGGGTGATTTGGGGTGTTTTTGGTGTTCCAGGCGGGCGCTGCGGCGGCTCCTGGCGCTGCTGCGGGGCCCGGCCTCGGCGGCGCTGCGCAGAGGAGCCGCGGGAGCGCTCAGGAACTGCTGCTTCCAGCACGGTAAAAATCCACAATTCTGGGCCTTTCCCGACTTTTTTTAGGGACTTTTTAGGAATTTTTTGGGGTTTTTTTTTTGTTGTTGGCTTTGAGATTTTTTTCGAGATTTTTGGGGGAATTTTTGGTGAATATTTTGTGATTTTTTGGTAATTATTTTATCATTTTTGGTGAATATTTCGTGATCTCTTGGGGGGATTTTTTGGGAATATTTAGGGGATTTTTGGGTTTGTGGTTTTTGTTGCTTTGCTTGGGGATTTTTGGGAATATTTTGGGATTTTTGAGGGATTTTTTTGGAGAATGTTTTGGGTTTGTGGTTAAAATCCTGGAATTTGAATCCTAAATAAAATCCTGGAATTTGAATTCTAACTAAGATCCTGGAATTTTGTGGAATCCTGTTAAAAATTCTGGAATTCCATGGAATCCCGACTAGAATCCTGGGATTTCTTGGAATCCTGTTAAAAATCCTGGAATTCCAGAGAATCTTCTTAAAAATTCTGGAATTTCATTGAATCCCAACTAAAATCCTGGAAATCTGTGGAATCCTGACTAAAATAATGGAATTCCATTGAAATCTAAGCTAAAATCCTGGAATTCCATGGAATCCCAACTAAAATCCTGGAATTTCAGAGAATCCTCTTAAAAATCCTGAAATTCCTTGGAATCCCAACTAAAATTCTGGAAATCTGTGGAATCCTGACTAAAATAATGGAATTCCATTGAAATCCAAGCTAAAATCCTGGAATTCCATGGAATCCCGACTAAAATCCTGGAATTCCAGAGAATCCAAGCTAAAATCCTGGAATTTCTTGGGATCCTGGATGGGAAAAGAAGGAACGGCCTCGGGTTGGGATTTTTGGGAATGTTCCCCTGGAATTTATGGAATTCCGGGCTGCAATTCCAAACATTCCCAAAATTTTTCCCAAAATTCCAGGAGGGCAGAGCCAGGATAAAGCAGAATTGGGGGGGGGGGGAAATCCAAATTTTGGGGGGATCCAACTCGGTCCCGGTCCCGCTCCGCCTGGGGGCTCTTCCGGGATGTCGGGACGAGATTCCCGGAGGATTCCCGGAGGATTCCCGTGGAATTCCCGCGGAATTCCCAGAGAACCACGAGCGGCTGCTGAGCCCCGAGCTGGACGCGCTCCCGCTGCTGCTGCTGCCGCTGGCCGGCCCCGAGGAGCTCCCCGAGGAGGAGATGGAGCGTGAGTGGCTTTTCCGGGGGTTTTTTTGGGAATTTTCGGGAATTCCCGGAATATTCCCAGCGGTTTTCCCCCTTCAGAGCTCCCCGTGGATCTGCAGTACCTCCCCCCGGAGCACCGGCCGGAGGAGGAGCCGGAGATCCGCAAGATGCTGCTGGAGACGCTGATGCTGGTGCCGGATTTTGGGGCTCCTTCAGGAATTTGGGGGGTTCCATGAGGAATTTTGGGGTTTTGGGGAGTTCCTTGAGGAATTTTGGGAGTTCCTTGAGGAATTTTGGGGGTTTTGGGAGTTCCTTGAGGAATTTTGGGAGTTCCTTGAGGAATTTTGGGGGTTTTGGGAGTTCCTTGAGGAATTTTGGGTGTTCCTCGAGGAATTTGGGGGGGTTGAGGAGGAATTTTGGGGTTCTTAGAGGAATTTTGGGGGTTCCCTGAGTAATTTTGGGGGTTTGATGAGGAATTTTGGGGTTCCGTAAGAAATTTTGGAGTTCTTAGAGCAATTTTGGCGGTTCCATGAGCAATTTTGGGGGTTCCTCGAGGAATTTTTGGGGTTTTAGGAGGAATTTTGTAGTTCTTAGAAGAATTTTGGGGGTTCCTTGAGGAATTTTGGGGGTTTGATGAGGATATTTGGGGTTCCATGAGAAATTTTGGGGGTCCTTGAAGAGTTTTTGGGGTTTTAGGAGGAATTTTGGAGTTCTTAGAAGAATTTTGGGGGTTCCTTGAGGAATTTTGGGGGTTTGATGAGAATTTTTGGGGTTACATGAGAAATTTTGGAGTTCTTAGAGCAATTTTGGGGGTTCCATGAGAAATTTTGGGGTTCCTTGAGGAATTTTGGGGATTTTTATGGGCTTTCTTGAGGAATTTTGGGCTTCCTTGAAGAATTTTGGGGGTTTGATTAAGATTTTTGGGGTTCTTTGAGGACTTTTGGCAGTTCCCTGAGGAATTTTGGGGTTCCATGAGAAATTTTGGGGTTTCTTGAGGAATTTTGGGGATTCCCTGAGGAATTTTGGATTTCCTCGAGGAATTTTGGGGGTTCCCTGTGGATTTTTCGGTTTCCTTGGGGATTTTTGGGTTTCCTCGAGGAATTTTGGGGGTTCCCTGAGGATTTTTGGGTTCCTTGAGTTTTTTGGCCATCCCATCAGCAATTTTGGGTTTCCTCGTGGACATTTCGAACTTCTGCGAGAACTTCCCGATGTTCCACCACCAATTTCCACCTTTCGACCCCAAATTTCACCGCCAAGCCAGACTTTTTCGGGTTCTTTGAGGAATTTTGGCTTCCCACACCCAACGGGCAGCCGCGAATCCCCCAAAAATTCCCGATTTTTTTTCCCCCGAGCAGCTGGCGGCCACCAAGGCGGGGCGGGAGCAGCTGCGGCGCCGCGGTTCCTACCTGGTGCTGCGGGAGCTGCACGGCCGGGAGCGGGACCCCGCGGTGCTCGGCGCCTGCCACAACCTGATCCAGGTCAGCCGCGGCGCCGGCGCCGATCCGGCGCTCCCGGGACGCTTCCGGAGCCATCGGGGCGGTTCCGGTGCTGCCGGCACAGTTCCGGCGTTCCTGGGGCGGTTCTGGAGGTGTTGGAGCAGTTCCGGTGTTGCCGGCACGGTTCCGGTGTTCCTGGGGTGGTTCTGGAGCCATTGGAGCGGTTCCGGTGCTGCCGGCATGATTCCGGCATTCCTGGGGTGGTTCCGGAGCCATCGGGGCAGTTCCGGTGCTGCCGGCACAGTTCCGGTGTTCCTGGGGCGGTTCTGGAGCCATTGGGCAGTTCTGGTGTTGCCGGTGAAGTTCCGGCATTCCCGGGGTGGTTCCAGAGCCATTGGAGCGGTTCCGGTGTTGCCGGCACGGTTCCGGCATTCCCGGGGTGGTTCCGGAGCCATCGGGGCGGTTCCGGTGCTGCCGGCACGGTTCCGGTGTTCCTGGGGCGGTTCCAGAGCCGTTGGAGCGGTTCCGGTGCTGTCGGTGCAGTTCCGGCATTCCCGGGGTGGTTCTGGAGCCATTGGAGCGGTTCCGGTGTTGCCGGCGCGGTTCCGGCATTCCTGGGGTGGTTCTGGAGCTGTCGGGGTGGTTCCGGTGTTGCCGGCGCGGTTCCGGCATTCCCGGGGTGGTTCCGGAGCCATTGGGGCGGTTCCGGTGTTGCCGGTGCAGTTCCGGTGTTCCTGGGGTGGTTCTGGAGCCATCAGGGTGGTTCTGGAGCTGTTGGGGCGGTTCCGGTGTTGCCGGCACGGTTCCGGTGTTCCTGGGGCGGTTCCGGAGCCATTGGGGCGGTTCCGGTGCTGCCGGCATGGTTCCGGCGTTCCCGGGGTAGTTCTGGAGCTGTTGGGGTGGTTCCGGTGTTGCCGGCACGGTTCCGGTGTTCCCGGGGTGGTTCTGGAGCCATTGGAGCAGTTCCGGTGTTGCCGGTGCAGTTCCGGCATTCCCGGGGCGGTTCCAGCATTTCCAGGACGGTTCCGGCACGTTCCCAGTGTGGTTCCAGAACATTCTCCAGGCAGTTCTGGCACGTTCCCGGCACGTTCCCGGCACGTTCCCGGCGTCCCGCAGGTGCTGATCGGGGAGGAGCCGGAGGCGGCCATGGAGAACCTGCTGGAGGTGCCGATCCCACCGGAGCTGCAGCGGCGCTTCGCCGACATGGACGCGGAGGAGGAGCGGCGGCGGAGGGAGGAACCGGCGGAGACGGCCGGGTGACACCACAACGTCACCAGAGCGTCACCAGAGCGTCACCAGAACATCACCAGAACATCCCTGGAGCGTCACCAGAACATCCCTGGAGCGTCACCAGAACATCACCAGAACATCACCAGAGCGTCACCAGAACGTCACCAGAACATCACCAGAACATCACAAGAATGTCACCAGAACGTCACCAGAACATCACCAGAACATCACAAGAATGTCACCAGAACGTCACCAGAACATCACAAGAATGTCACCAGAACGTCACCAGAACGTCACCAGAACATCACCAGAGCGTCACCAGAGCGTCACCAGAACGTCACCAGAACGTCACCGGAACATCACCGGAACATCACTGGAGCATCACCAGAACATCACCAGAACATCACAAGAACGTCACCAGAGCGTCACCAGAACGTCACCAGAACATCACCAGAACATCACCAGAACATCACCAGAACGTCACCAGAATGTCACCAGAACATCACCAGAATGTCACCAGAACGTCACCAGAACATCACCAGAACATCACTGGAGTGTCACCAGAACGTCACCAGAACGTCACCAGAACATCACAAGAATGTCACCAGAACGTCACCAGAACGTCACCAGAACGTCACCAGAACATCACAAGAATGTCACCAGAACGTCACCAGAACGTCACCAGAACGTCACCAGAACGTCACCAGAACATCACAAGAATGTCACCAGAACATCACCAGAACATCACCAGAGCGTCACCAGAACGTCACCAGAACATCACCGGAGCGTCACCAGCACGTCACCAGCAGGGACCGTGGGGACAGCGGGGTGGGGTCTCCAGGGGCCACCACGGGGACAACGCGGTGATCATAAAGAACCATCGTGGTGGCAATGAGGTGTCCCCAAAACCACCAGGGTGACAACGGGGTGGCTCTGAGGGTCAGCGTGGTGGCAATGGGACGGTGTCCCCAAAAAGCCACCGTGGTGGCCATGGGGTGTCCACGAAGAGCCACCATGATGAGAACGTGGTGTCCCCAAGGGCCACCATGAGATGTCCTCAAGGGCCAAGTGGTGGCACTGGGACAATGTCCTCAAGGAGCCGCTGGGGTGGCGCTGGGATGGTGTCCCCCAAAAGCCACCAGGGTGACAATGGGGTGTCCCCAGGGCCACCGAGGTGACACCGGGATGTCCCCAAGGCCACCGGGGTGTCCCAAAGTTGCCCAATTAAAGGTTTTCACCCCAAAGCTGCCGTGAACTCCTGGGCTTGGGGACAACCGAGACCTTTGGGGACATCTGGGGGGGGTTTGGGGACATTTGGGGGGTTTAGGGACATTTTGGGAGATTTGGGGACACTGGGGGGATTTTGGGACACCTGGGACAAATTTGGGGACATTGGGAGGGATTTGGGGACATTTGGGACAATTTGGGGACACCAGGGGGGATTTGGTGACATTTGGGACAATTTGGGGACACCGGGTGGGATTTGGTGACATTTGGGACAAATTTGGGACAATTTGGGGACACCAGGGGGGATTTGGTGACATTTGGGACAATTTGGGGACACCGGGTGGGATTTGGGGACANGACATTTGGGACAAATTTGGGACAATTTGGGGACACCAGGGGGGATTTGGTGACATTTGGGACAATTTGGGGACACCGGGTGGGATTTGGGGACATTTGGGACAAATTTGGGACAATTTGGGGACACCAGGGGGGATTTGGTGACATTTGGGACAATTTGGGGACACCGGGGGGAATTTGGTGACATTTGGGACAAATTTGGGGACATTTGGGACAATTTGGGGACACCAGGGGGGATTTGGTGACATTTGGGACAATTTGGTGACATTTGGGACAATTTGGTGACATTTGGGACAATTTGGGGACATTTGGGACAATTTGGGGACACCGGGGCGGATTTGGGGACATTTGGGACAAATTTGGGGACACCGGGGGGAATTTGGTGACATTTGGGACAAATTTGGGGACATTTGGGACAATTTGGGGACGTTTGGGACAATTTGGGGACATTTGGGACAAATTTGGGGACATTTGGGACAATTTGGGGACAATTTGGGGACATTTGGGACAATTTGGGGACGCCGCGTCCGTTCCCCTCCCGCACCGCCAGGGGGCGCCGGCAGCGCGGGGGCCGCAGACCACGCCCCCTTCCAGCACAGCCAATCAGAGCTCGGGGGCGTGGCCTCAGCTGCCAATTCACTTCCATTGGGTGGGCGTGGCCTGTGGCGGTGGGTGTGGCCTGCGGTGGGCGTGGCCGCCGCACCCGGAAGCGGCGCCGGGCGCGTCCAGGTGAGCGCGGGTGGGGGGGGGGAGGAGAAATTTGGGGGAAATTCGGGGAAATTCGGGAATTTTGAGGGGTTTGGGAGGTTTGGGGGGGTTTGGGATGGAAGGGTTGGAGTTGGCGTCGCTGAACAGGTGCAGCAGCATCTGGAATGGGGAATTCGGGGAAATTCGGGAATTTTGAGGGGTTTGGGAGGTTTGGGGGGGTTTGGGATGGAAGGGTTGGAGTTGGCGTCGCTGAACAGGTGCAGCAGCATCTGGAATGGGGAATTCGGGGAAATTCGGGAATTTTCGGGGATTTTGGGGAATTTTTGCCATGCGGGAGGATCGGGGAAGGGGAAACTGCCGGGAAACGCCGAGGCCTGGCCGGGACCCGCCGCCCGGGACCTGCCTGCCCCTCCTTCCCCCATTCCCGGAGGGAAAATCCCAAAATTTGGGACATCGGGACCCCCCGGGGGGGAATTTTTAGGATCGGGAACGCCCCAGGAACGGGAAATTTTAGGATTGAAACCCCCCCTCAGGAACGGGAATTTTTAGGATCGAGACCCCCCCTGGAACGGGAATTTTCCCCTAGAAATAGGAATTATTTTAGGAATTTTTTAGGAATTTTTTTGGGAATTTTTGCCCAAATTTCCTCGGGAATGTCCTCGGACAAGGGCAGGGAAAATGATCCTGGAAAAGTCTGGAATGTTCGTCCCCTGGATGGGAATTTTTTTTTAAAAAATCTGAATTTTCCCCTTTTTTATTTGTAATTTTGATTTTTCCTTCTCCCAAATCTCGGGATTTCATTTCCTGGTTTTTCTTTTTTTTTTTTTTTTGTTTTGCCTGGAAAAAATTCCCTCCCTCCTCTCCCGGGTTTTAGGGCCAAATATTTGGGACAAGGCCCTGGAGTTCGGGGTTGGATTAATGGGACACTGGAATTCCAGAGGGAGGGGGGGAAATCTGGGATTGGCATTCCAGAGGGAGAAAATTTGGGATTGAGATTCCAAGGAAAAGTGGGACTGGGATTCCAGAGGGGGAAAAAAACTGGGATTGAAATTCCAGAATTCCAGAGGGAGGAAAAAAAAAAAAAAAAAAAAAAAAAAAAAACCAAAAAGAAAAAAAAAAAAAAAAAAAAAAAAAAACCCAACCAATTCCAAATAAATTGGAATTCCAAAGGGGAAAAAAATTGGGATTGGGATTCCAGAAAAATCTGGGATTGGGATTCCATGGGTTGGTGGGGGGGGGTGGAATTTGGGGTTGAAATTGCAGAGAGGGGGAAAAAACTGGGATTGGAATTCTACAAAAATTTGGAATTCCGGAGGGGGAAAAATCTGGGATTTGGATTCCAGGGAGGGAAAAAAAAAAGAAATCTGGGATTGGGATTCCAGAAAAATCTGGGATCGGAATTCCAGAAAAACCCGGGATTGGGATTGCAGGAAATCCCGGGATTGGGATTCCAGGAAAACCCGGGATTGGGATTGCAGAGAATCCCGGGATTGGGATTGCAGGAAATTCTGGGATCGGGATTCCAGGAAAACCCGGGATTGGGATTCCAGGAAAACCCGGGACTGGGATTGCAGAGAATCCCGGGATTGGGATTCCAGGAAATCCCGGGATTGGGATTGCAGGAAAACCCGGGATTGGGATTGCAGGAAATCCCGGGATTGGGATTGCAGAGAATCCCGGGATTGGGATTCCAGGAAATTCTGGGATTGGGATTGCGGAGGGGGGATGGGGTTGGGATTTGGGGAATTTTGGGGGATTTCCGAGTTTTTCCCCTTTCAGGAGCCTCGGGAAGAGGAGGAGGAGGAGGAGGAATCCCGGGATGAGGCGGCTCCCACCCGGATGAGGCCGGATCCCATGGAAGCTTCCGGAATTCCGGGATCTCTCCTGGAGTGGCGGCGCCCGGAATTCCCGGCACCGGGAGCCTGAATCCCTCCTGGGGCTGGAGCGGAGAATTCCCACAGAATTCCTGCTGGGATCAGAGAATTCCCACCTGGAGCAGAGAATTCCCATTGAATTCCTGCTGGGATCAGAGAATTCCCGTTTAATTCCCACCAGGATCAAAAAAATTCCCAACTGGAGCAGAGAATTCCCACCGGGAGCAGAGAATTCCTGCTGAATTCCCGCTGGGATCAGAAAATTCCCACTGGGATCAGAGAAATCCCGCTGAATTCCCGCCGGGATAAAAAAATTCCCACCTGGAGCAGAGAATTCCCACTGAATTCCCACCTGGGTCTGAGAATTCCCACCTGGAGCAGAGAATTCCTGCTGGGATCGGAAAATTCCCACTGAATTCCCAGTGAGATCAGGGAGTTCCCATTGAATTCTGGTCCTGCCGGGATCAGGGAATTCCCGCTTTTCCCTGGAATTCCCGCCGGGAATTCCGGCTTTTCCCTGGAATTCCGCGCCCGTCCCGGCCAGGCTGGAGTCGCGCAGCCGCAGCATGGTGGAGTCGCGCGTCCGCCGTGAGTGCCCCGAATTCCCGCCGGGAATTCCCAAATTCCAGCCGGGAATTCCCAATTTCCAAAAAAAGGGCGGAGAAACGGGGGAAAATGGGAAAGAGTGGGGGAAAATTGGGGGAAAAAGCGGGAAAATTGGGAAAAAAAAGGTGGAAATTGCAGGAAAAAATGGGGAAAAAGGAGAAAAATGGAGGAAACGAAAAGGGGAAATTGGGAAACGTTTGGAGGAAAATTGGGGGGAAAAAAGGGGAAAATGATGGGAAAAATTGGGAAAATTTTGGGGCAGGTGTGGGTGATAATTCCGGGATTCTGGAATGTTCCAGGGCCGGCGCTGGTGCTGCTGGAGGCGGGTGGGGAAAATTGGGAAAAATGGGAAAGAAAAGGGGAAAAAAATGGGGAAAAAAAAAAGGAGGAAAATGGGAAAGAAAGGGGGGGAAATGGAGGGGGAAATTGGAGGGGAAAATTGGGGGAAAAAAGGGGGAAATTGGGAAAAAAGAGGAAATGGAGGAAAAAAAAGGGGGAAATTGAGAAAAAAGGGGAAAATGGCGGGAAAAATTGGGAAAGAAAGGAAAAATTGAGGGAAAGTTTGGGAATAAGGGGGGAAATGGAGAAAATGGGGGAAATGGGGAAGAAATGGGGGGGAAAATGGGAAAACAAGGGAAAAAAGGGAAAACTATGGAAAAAATTGGAAAAAAAGGCGGAAAAAATTGGGAATGGAAGGAAAAAATGGAGGAAAAAAAAGGGGAAAAGGGAAAAGATGGAGGAAAAAATTGGGGAAAAAAGGAAAAAATGGAGGAAAAAACTGGGAAAAAATGGGGAAAATTTGGGAGGCGGGTGTGGAGCCTGGGGGCGCTAATTCCGGTTTTTTGGGCGGTTGCAGGGCCGGCGCCGGCGCTGCTGGAGGCGGCCGGGGGAAATTGGGGAAAATTGGGAAAAACGGGAAAAATGGGAAAGAAAAGGGGAAAAAATGGGGAAAAAAAAAGGGGGGGAAATGGGAAAGAAAGGGGGGGAAACGGAGGGGGAAATTGGGGGGAAAAAATTGGGAAGAAAGGGCGGGAAAATCGTGAAAAATGGAGAAAAAAATGGGGGAAAATGGGGAAAAAATGGGGAAAATTGGGGAAAAATGGGGAAAAATGGGTAAAAACTGGGAAAAAATTGGGGAAAAATTGGGGAAAAATGAGGAAAAATGGGGAAAAAATTGGGGAAAAATGGGGAAAAATTGGGGAGAAATGGGGAAAAATGGGGAAAAATGAGGAAAAATGGGGAAAAATTGGGGAAAAATGGGGAAAAATTGGGGAGAAATTGTGGAAAAATTGGGGAGAAATGGGGAAAAATGAGGAAAAATGAGGAAAAATGGGGAAAAATGGAAAAAAATGGGGAAAAATTGGGGGAAAATTGAGGGAAAATGGGGAAAAAATTGGGGGAAAATGGGGAAAAATTGGGGAAAAATCGGGGAAAATGGGGAAAAAATTGGGGGAAAAATGGGCAAAATTGGG